TATATATATATAATGTATCGATATTGTATAAGTAGTGTATATATATGTATATATAGGAGTGCTACGAGCGATATAGGTTAATGTACTTTCACTTTTGTTTAGCATTTTTTTTTTATAACTTTGTGATTCAAAATTTGATGCAAAAGCTATTTTTCGCATATAGGTTGGGTATCGGTCGGTTCGATTTTGAAGTTTATCGATTTGATTTATTGGTTATTGGTTTGTACACAAGCTAAACCGTTAAGAACAATTAAGATATTGACTTATCAGTTATTGATTGTTATCGATTCAATTATTTGTTTAATCGTTAAGATTTGATACAAAAAATAAATGATTGAAAATCACTTTAAAACATGGTAACAAACCAAATAAACTATGCACATGAGTAGATAGATTGTATCTTGCTCAGAAACAACACTAACACATTGTAGAATAACCGAAAGTTTGAGACTGCTAGATATTAAAATATGAAACTAATCCTAAGTCAAGGACTTTATTTACCAATACTTTAATCAACGTTTTCAAACATGGAAATCAAAGGGTTATGTTGTGAGATTGGAGAAAGCTTTTGGTCGGAAAGGAGGTGAGACATGCTGAAATTTTTTGGTTGGGAAGAGATCGGAGACAAAACCCCTTTTTTTTTAAAAATTCTTTTAATTAAAGAAATAACAAAATCCCTCTATTTTTATTTCTTAAATTATATATATAAGCCACATCAGTTAAAAAAAATTCACGTGTAGCGTGTGAATGACACATTTTTGTGTATGGAAAGAGAGGGGTGTCTTTAAGCTTAGTTCGTCAAGTATATGAGTGTTATTAGGTCTGCCAATAATTTGAAGATGAAACCAATAATTCGCGCCAAATTCGAGGGTGCTTTTAATACTTATCTATGAATTTGTTGGATGCTTATTTGACATTTCAATTTTCTCCTTTTTTATTAGTATATTATGTGTTGAATAACTAAAAGTTCACAGAGGTCACAACAAAGGATAATGTGGCAATATGACCACCACTTTAATGAAAATCATACATATTTTTCAGATTTTTTTTTGTGTCATAATATCCAAGCACAAATTCATGTTTAAGATAATAAAGAAAGTCTAATGACCATGTAATTCTTCAAAGAAAAATTATTATATTAATTTGGTACAAGTTCATTATAACCTTTTTCAGCTTAATATTTTCTTATGTATACTTATGCAAAGACAGCAAATAAAATCACAATTCCTCCACAAGACATCCCAAAATTTTAGTAATTAGATTTACTCGCCTCAAAGTTTAGCCAATATTGCACTGCTTACGTAAATAAAATTGACGTTTTCTTTGTTTCAATTTGTATGTCTTACTTTCTTTTTTAGTTCGTTTGAAAAAGAATGTCTCACTCCTTCTTAATAACTCTTTAATTATAATTTTACACATGACACGTTTAAGATTACAAAATTATAATATATTTTTCCTATATTCTACATAATGTAAGTCAAACTCAAATTTAAAAAAATTGAAACGGAGAGAATATATCTCGAGTTTTCAAATAATAATCAAATATACATTTGAGCCCATATTTTGGGCGGGCCAAGTTATAAACCCAAATTTTGAAGTCTCATTTCCCCGCCAGTTCGGTATTATATCACTCTATTGACGGAAAACAATATCCGGCGACGGAAGGATGCCGACGGTATTCATCGCCGTTCAGTGTTGTGAATGCTCCACCATGCAGGTATCTATCTATCTTTCTCTGTGTGTACATAGATAATGATGCAGTAACGAGAAATCGAGGTTTTTCAGGTAAAGCAGCAGAAGAAGAGTTTCAACAAATGGACCTGCGTGGTTTGTAATCAGAAACAGTCTGTTCGGAAAGTGTTCGCCCAGGGGTATAAGGCTAAGGAAATTCGCCTATTTGTTCAGAGTTTCAATATGTCTCGCCAATTTACGGATCAATTGCCTGTGATAGACAGAGAAGAAATTGAAACCCTAGATATTGAAGAGCAGAATCAAAGTCATGGAAGTTTGAAGAGAAAGGATTGGACAGAGTACCTCGATCCAGAAGAAGATGCAATTGAAAATGATGAAATTTCAGGTAACTTAAATTTCTTATAGTTCTGATGATTTAAGAGTCTGATGAAGTTTTATTTGGATTGATATTTTAGGTTTTGAATTGTTCGATCTGGAAATGCAGGAGATGTTATGGAGCCGAAGATTGTGACGGAGTTACCCAAAGAGTTATTCAGAAGGCCTAGGTTGAACAACTACTCTGCTGTTGCAGGTAATTTCAAACCAGTTTTCTCAAAGCGGAATGCCAGAAAACAAAGCATATCTCAAGGTTACCGGAATGCACAAAACACAGGTAAACTCGATGGCCTCTTACATAGAGTAATTCAGAATCTAGAATTAGTGGATTCCTGAAACGAGTGTGATTGTATATACTTATGCATAATTCGAGCCAAAAGCAATTAGTTCAATTGAACTCGTAGAAACCTGTCCTGGATCCCCCTATGGCACCTTATTTTAGTGCCTAACCATAAATACGATGAGTGATTTTGGAATCAGATGAGTTGGATATTTACCGAGTAGTTTCCCAGTACCTGTCAGATGATTGTAGAACATACTGAGTAAGGTATGAAGAGCTTTGAGTGCATATAGCAATTGGCAGGTGTAAAAGCACTTTGTTGAGTTGGTATTTTGAGAATGAAGACGATCATAGTTACATCTTACAAAGACCTTCACTGTTTTTATCCAATTTTCCTGTTGGGAAACTGCATTTTGGAATTTCAGTAAGTTTGTTTTGTGTTAAAAAACCGTAAAGAGGTAGCCCCTTTCTCCCTGAGTAGTTCATTCACTCCCAGTGCCTACCATTTCTATGTACTATTGAAAAAAGAGAGGTAGAGCGAGGAGCTCAATATTGGAACTTTGACTTGCAGATGTTGAGCCAAGCAAACATCAGGCAACAATGGCATCGGTGATCTCCAAGTGGGGAGATAATAGAACAGCGCCACTAGACATGTCTGTTCAGCCAGCAACAGACAGTGTTTGCAAACTGAATGAAGGTATCAACCTATATGACAATGACAATTATAGAAATGAAGGAGATCTTGGTTATAGACAGTCAGTACAGAGAAGTCAGCCAAAGACGGCCAACAAAGTCTCCAAATGGACCGAGTACATAACTGAAGATGAAGATGATTGTCTCTCGCAGTTTGCTAGTGGGAGAGGATTCACGTCTGAATTAAATGAAGATATCATCCGATATGACCATGACAATTGTGAAGGAAATCTTGGTTATAGCAAGTCAGAACAGAGAAGTCATCCAAACACAGCCAACAAAGCCTCCAAATGGACCGAGTACATAACTGAAGATGAAGATGATTGTCACTCGCAGTTTGCGAGTGGGAGAGGATCCACATCTGATGTCAACAAATGGAGTGGCAATACCTTTGAGACCTCATTGAAGGATCAAAGACTAGATGACGAAGAAATCCACCCCGATTTTCTCTAGACTTACTTCCAAGGAGTGTATTATGGGTGACAACAAGGGAGTAGTTTGTTTGATTTAGTGTTGTATCTTTTTTATAGCACTGTCTTAACGCAGTGGACTGTAAGACGTGTATAAGCTTGAACTATGACTATGAAGCCGCCCAATACAGCAAGTTCTCGACATGAAAAGGAGAAGAGGAAATGCCTGAAAGGCTTCAAAGTAAAATACAGTCACAATGTCAATTAGCCCTGCTAAAGAAGGGCCAGACATAACACACCTCTTACAACAGATGATGTTCAGGATCAAAGGACCTTTGTCATGTCCTTGGCACATTAGACTGCATAAATGTTAAAAGGCCTAATCCATCGGTGACCCCTAAAGTTGACACCAACTTTCACTTAGACATCTTAACTAGACTTGGTTCAATTTAGACACCTCATGTAAGGTTTTGTTGTGTTATTTTGACACTTTTTATGTACATCATAGAGAGTGTGATATACTCGTTTATTGCGAGTGAAAAGCTTATTTAGTCATTTTTTAATTATTTTTCTTCTTCCCCATTTTCCAAGCTTAACTCCATCCATGGCGAATGTTTTAAAATTTAAGAAAAAACGTATTTCAAGATTTAAATATTGCAATAATGATGAAATTCTTTTTTGGAGGAATTTAATATTGTCATATGGAAGTGGATTTGATTTTTCATGCCTTCTTATTTTTTTCAGTTAATTTTAATGATTTCAATTCAGTTTTACTGCTTTGTTATTGATTAAGAAGAATCTGAATTCATGACTTAGCTTTATTCTTCTATAATAAAAAGGCCTAACCTATCGGTGACCTCCTAAAGTTGGCATGATGTTTCACTTAGACACCTTAACTAGACAATGTTCATTTTAGACACTTGAAGTAGAGTTACGCTATGTCATTTTGACACTTTTTGCTTATATGGCATAATGAGTGTGATGCACTCATTGACCAGCGCGTGAAATAACTTTTTAGTTAATTTTTAATTATTTTTTCTTCTTCCTTTTCCCATTTTTAGCCACCATTTTATCCAAGTTAAATTTCATCCATTATAGACCAGGTTTTGACAAAAATGACGAAAAATGTTCTTAAAATTTAAAAATAAATCCATTTACGAAATTTTTCTTGGAAGAATTTAATATTAATTTCTTTAAACTAAGCTAAAAATTTGTTTGAGATAGACGGTAGTAATGGCGTGCAGATGTGGGATGGGGTAGTTTCTGCAAAAGGATTGGGGAGGTTTTTATTTTTGAAAATAAAATTTTCAAATGGTGCGCATAGTAGGGTATTTTCGAGGCGGGGATTTGGGGGTTATTTGGAGGTTGGGTGGAGAAGACGATTGGGGTGGGTCCTTTTATTTGTTTTTTTTAAATTATTTTTTAATTATTTGGATAAAAATATTATGTGTCATTAATTTCAAAAATAATTATTTAATAATTACTTTTGATACAAATGACAAATGTCATCATTTAATTAGTTACTTTACACGTCATTTGCGAGTGTAACACACACCTTATATATTTTTGCTGATATTAAAAAAAGTGTCAAAATGACATAGCGGAACTCTACATCAGGTGTCTAAAATGAACATTGTCTAGCTAAGGTGTCTAAGTGAAACATCGTGCCAACTTTAGGGGGCCATCGATGGGTTAGGGGTAAGAAAAATTATTGTTCTGTGAGAAGTGATTTGGTGGGTTACTTCTTCTAAGCTATTTGAATAGACCCAGATTGAATATATTTTTTTTGTAAGAATTTCAATTTAAAGATTTAAGATTTTTACGGATATTATAAATATCAGAACTTTTATGTACAAGTTGAAAAAACTTTATGCCTGATGAACTCGGCTGCAAAATAATTTTTTTAATTGGTTAATTTATTTTTTTGTAATTATATGGGCAAAAATGTGTCATCGATTTATTGGCTACTTTTTGTTTTTCAAAAAAATCATTATTTAACAATGATTTTGGGCACAAGTGGCAAATATCATCATTTAATTGGACATTTTACACATCACTCGTGAGTGTATCACCCATCATATAACTTCATTATCTAACAATGATGAATTATTATTTTTCGCAGTCATCCCTCATATAACTTCATTATTTAACAATTAAAATATTTTTTTCCTAGGTGTGTTGTTGAAAAAGCACTTCAATTTTTCACCAAAAAGCTAAGAGTGTAAAACCTTTTTATTGTAATGTTTGATCTTAAACTTTTAATAGGAGTGTTTGCATAGGTTTTGCCGTAGTGTTTGATGACTTATATTATAGTAAAACCTGATTAATTAAAGACTAATTAAAGGAGAATCGTCACAAGAGATCTAGAACCTAGGTTATATTTATATTTGAAAAATGTTAGAAAATATATTTATATAAAATTTAATATATTTGCATACATGTTTGGGAATTTTTCGGTTTGCTTTTATAAATTAAAAAGATCATCTCAATTGTTTGCTACGATATACATTTAAATAAAAATCCACGATCTTATTAAAAAATGATATAATTAAATTGGGACGGTTCGATCAATTTTTCATATTGTTTTGACACTCTAGACCCATGAATGGGTTAGGCCATGTTAAAATATGCTAGGTACTAAAGGGTCAAGGCATGTTACAATATGCTAAATGTTACAAATTTAGGCCATGTTAAAATATGCTAGATGTTACAAATTCAGGTGCTAAAGGGTTAAGGCATGCTAAAATATGCTAAATGTTACAAATTCGAGTGCTAAAAAATAGAATTGTAGTCGAACAAAACAATCCATAAATTGCAAACAAGTCTAGAAAGTAACAAAAAATAAAATTAAAAAACGTAAGCAAGAGCAAAGTAAACTCCTAGAAGAAGCACTCTTTGCTAAAATCTTAAGCCTACAAAGAATGTCATTAAATACCATAAGAAAACCAGACTCCCTAAGTCACCACCATCACCCCTTCCAAAATACGGGCCAATTTAGGGACATATTTGCTTCATTCATTCAGAGTGAGCGATCCAAATTTATCACCAACACTATCTGGCTCCACGCGAAGAACATCCATAGCCTCGGAGACTTTCTCCTTAAGAGCATCAGGGGACTCAATGAGATGAAGCACCTCAGTCTGATCCATCTCAAGCAACATTCCAGTAACTTTACCAGCATGATCACGTTCAATGTGTTCCACTAGTGGAAATAACTGCTCTCCAAGCATCTGCAACACCTTACCAGAGTTAAGCATTGGGAAACAAGGAACAGGTAGTTCAAGTTTGACGTATAAAATCAGCAGGGAGAAAATAAGTGAAACTAAAATCAAGGACATACCGCGTGCTGATCTTCTGGAGAAGCAAAGGCCAAAGAAGAAGCAAGTGTTGACGGTGGCACTGGGTTAGAGCGTTGGATGTCTAAGGGAGGAGTTGTCATAGCAGAAGAAGCATCAAATGGTGCTCGCATAATTGATCCCATCATACCTTGAGGGATGCTAGGATGCATGCCATTTCGTCCATTCGGATTGAATTGACCAGAGCTCCACTGCATAGATTAATAAAGCTTTAACAACTCAACTTTGTTCATTGGATCAATAACTGTATCTGAAACGTGTATTTTGACTGAAGATTGTACAATTTAGTTATTATCTTTTAATCTTATGACCTATCACACACAGTTTTGGAAAATTATAATTCATTTTACAAAAAGACAGTGTGAATACGTCCTATATTAAAATGATGTATGAACTTAATAAAATGAAAGAATATGCACCTGATGCTGCTGTTGAGGATATCCTCCTCTCCTTCCACCAATACGTCCGTGTTGTCCTTGATGATGCTGAAACTGATAGGGCAAGAAGAAATTCGGACCAACACCTGGACGAAGTCCGGGCATGAATTGTTGCTGGAAGCCAAATCCAGCAGCTTGAGTTGCTACACCTTGACTAAAGTAGACCTGCGGAGGTGCAAGTCGAGGTGCCCCAGTGTGATACCCAGGCATACCTCCAGGAGGAGGAGTCATTAGCCCAGTTGGTCGCATCCTAGCAAAATGTGTCTGCTAACAAATAAACATCAAATTATGCAATGAACATCCATAATACAATGTATTATTGGTGAATTTAAGAAAGATGTGTGTGCTTAGAGCAGACTCTCGAGTGAACTCTAACTAGAATCCAATACATTGAAGCAACTAAAAATTGAATCTTAGTAGAAAAAATCTAGTATATGATACCTGTAGCCACACTCTTCTTTCATCCTTGCGCTGGGCAACAGCGACAAATAATGGTTTCCTTCCTATCAACTTGCCGTTCATCTCATTCAACTGAAACAATAATAAAAACAATTTATACATACATATAATTGTCTCTTTAAAAGCAAGTAACACAAGGTATATTAGATAATTTGGACAACTTACTGCTCGTGTAGCTTCCTCTGGGGTGGAGAAGGCAACAAATCCAGAACCCTTGCTACTCCCTTTTGCATCGCGCATCACCTAATAATAATTTCAAATTGATATGAAACACTAAAACAAACTTTTCCACAGATGATATGCACTTAAAAAATCAACAAATCAGGCGCATACCTTGCAGGATGTTATGGTTCCGTACTCTACGAATAATTCTTTCAGATTTTCATCATTCACACTGTCATCCAGATTTTTCAAATACAAGTTAGCACCTTTTAATTTCTCAAATCGACTAGCTCGTTCTTGTTCAAATTTGACTCTAAGATCTGCTTCCCGCTCTGATTTCTTCTGTGCCTTGCCAACATACAGAACCTTTTCATTCAAAGAACTACCATTCAGTTCTACAACTGCAGAGGCTGCAGCATTCCATGTCTCAAAATTCACGAACCCAAAACCCCTGGATTTCCCACTAGAGTCTGTCATAACTAGAGCACTGGTGATTGTGCCGTACTTCTCAAAAAGTTTCTTCAGATCTTCATCACTAGTGGATTCTGGTAGGTTTTTCACATAAACATTTGTGAATTTATCACAAACAGTTCCTCTCCTTTCTTGACCACGAATGAAGTAGCCAACATACACTTGCTTATCATTTATTAACATACCATTTAGTCGATTGATTGCTTTCTGTGCAGCTTCATCCTGATCAAACTGTACAAAACCATAGCCTTTTGATTGACCACTACTATCAACAGCTACCTTGCAGGAAAGAACTGTTCCAAAGGCACCAAAAGTGTCCTGCAAAGCCTTGTTATCTATCGACGAGTCCAGGTTCTTAATGAACACGTTAGCATACCCACTCTTCCTCAAACTAGGATCTCTATGAGAAAACATTATCCTCATAGGTTTTCCATTCACTTGAGTAAAATTCAACAACTCCCTTGCAGTAGTAGCTGCAACAAACAAATTACAAAAACAAAAACTCATCAACACCCATAAAGTATTAAGTAGTACTATAAAGTATTATTAGCCTTTACACATCCCAAATTGGATTGCTATTAAAAGTCAATGTACATTTTTTTTGTGAACTCTAAGTAATCTTAAACAGTGTTGGATAAACTAATGAAGGAACAAATTGACCAATTTAATTCAATTTCCGTTTGGAAGGTAGCCAAACACATATTCCCTATAGTCTTATAATTTATATCTCAAATTTTTAATACACTAAACCAAACAATGCATAAAAAATAACCTATGCATAATTAATGCAAGCATTACTAATACACTTTATTTAGCTTTACAAAAAAATAATGCATACCTTAACTTTGTGTATTACTTAATTTGGTACACTTTTTTAGCCTATGTATAACTAATACATGAGAATTCATGGTATTAATACATGCATTAACATGAATAAATACATATTTGTCTATCAAAATCTTTTCCACTGTATAAACAAATATTCTTTTTAGAAATTATTTAATACATATTATTTTTATACACCAAACCAACACTGCATAAGAAATAATACAAGAAAAACTAATATCAATCTTACTAATACACTATATTCAGCACTATTCTTACACACCATACCAAACATAAATAAACCCTAGCATGGTTGTTACATGTATTAATACTAGTTATACATATGCTGAAGATCATATCAAGTAAAAAGGATAAAATAATATCATGACTAATACATAAATTATTTGTTCTAATACATCCTACCAAACGACCAGCCAAAACGTTCGAATAATGAAAATAACGGCACATGCAAATAAACAATTCAATGTGTATAAATAAAATAGAGAAAGAGAAAAGTTGTTATACCATCTTGGGTAGAAGTGAAGTTCACGTAAGCGTAACCAAGGGACGCTCGCCGTTGATCTCTGCAAACCCTAACAGACAACACTGGTGCAACCTGATTAAAAACTTCATACAATTGTCCTTCATCTACCGTCGTATCCAGATCCCCGACGTACAGCGAATATTGACCAACACCAACACCACCACCACCCATTCCTCCCACCACATGCGGAGACGGTGGTGGCGTTACTCCAACAGTCGTCGCCGCTGTAACAGCCGCCTGAGTTTGTACTGTAGCCGGTAATTGAGGAACCGCCGCCATATAAATACGGATTATTATCTCCGATCGAACAAGCAGATGAATGTGCCTAAAATAAATATAGAAAAATTGAATTGAGAATTGAGTGAATAACAAAAAAAAAAAAAGAGAAGAGAAGATCGCCGCTAAGCGCAAACGATGAGTGAAAAATATTGGAGTAAGGGTTATATATGAAAGAGATTGTGGGCCCCAATTATGAACCGGTACTTAAAGGTATCGTTTGAGGTGGGGCCGCACGTGCGCATACTAAAAATAAAAAAATCAATATAAAAATTGAAGGAAATAAAATTACCTGATTAATAATATATGCAACTGAAAGATCAAACAATAACGTTACAATGGTTTACAAAGAAGAGGTAGGAGGCTTTATGTAATAACTCAATAACTCTTGTATCTCTCTATACTAAAAATATGTAATAAGTCACCCTATTTATAATACTAACAAACCAAATTAAACTAGAATTAGGAATTTCTCTAACTAATAAATCCTAATTCAACACAATTAACAAAATACCATAAATAACCAATTCTAAATTATTAAGAATTCCTATAATTAAATTACCATAAAAAATAAATCCTAAACTAGTAAGGAATTCTATTTCTTGATTTATTTCCTACAAAAGTAATAGTTTTCTAGCTATATTATACTCTATCGTTTGAGTAATATTTGATTTTCAAGAAATAGTTATATTAAATAAAAATAGCTTGATAAATTGTAAATTATATTTATTGGATTAATTTCTTAACGAATTGTGATTTTTGTTAAATATATGCTTTTTTTTGTAAAGGACGAACACATTTCCTTTTGTATTTAAATCTTATGATCTTACAATAAAAATATGTAGAATATATTAAAATTATCTTTTATTTTGTGATATTGAAATATCGTCCAAGAGTTGCAAAAGAAAAGAAGTGAACGATGTACTTTCTTAAACAATTTTTTTAATAAAAAAAGTCAAACAAATTAAAACAGAGAGAGTGTGTATTAAGAGAAAACAATTCGAAAGAAAAAATATGCACACAGATCTATTTTTCCCTTGACTCAAAACAATTCGAAAGAAAAAATAACAGAAGCAAAAATATTACTCCTTTCGTTCTATAATAGTTATTCATTATACTATTAAGATGCTTAACAAAATTTATTCATTTTATAAAATTAATGAATAATTTTATACTTAGTTTATAATTTATTCATATCATTAATTATAATTATTTCCTATTACATTTTATAAGACATTATATTTATTATATTCAAAGGGTGATATAATAAATTCATTTTATTTATAATTTTTTTTAAAAGTGTGTAAAGTATATAATAAACAAGTATTTTTAGATAGTATGATAAAACTTTTAAAAAAAAAAAAAAGAGTCAAAGCATGGGCTACTGATGGATAGAAATAGAATTTCGAGCATTTTGGGATTATATGCACCGTTTTTGGTAGCTCCTTAAATTTTGTGCTAATAATATAAACACCGTTTGACTTTTCGATAGTTCTTTAAAATTGGTGCTAATAATTATAAAGTTATATTATATAGGTCTATTTTTTACTGTCATAATTTCTTTTTTTTAAAGTTAAAATATAAAAAATTTGATTAATATTTTATGATGTATTTTTTTATCATATTGTTATGCAAAAAATTGTAGTTTATAGCATTTTTCGTATAATTTTTGAATAACTAATTTTTTTGTTTAAAATATCAAATTAATATAATCTAATTTAACTTTGAAAATTAGTCAAATTGACTTTCAAGAAGCACAACATGACAAATAAAAGTGGACGGATGGAATACCACTTGACTTTTTGATAGCAATTTAAATTTTGTGCTAACAATTATTCCTTTCGTTCCATATTAGATAGACATTTTATTTAAAATATTTGTTTCACATTATTTGATCACTTATTAAGGATAAAATTAATTATTATTTTTTCCATTCTAGTCCTACTATTAATATGATCTTTGTAAATTTAAACAAATTTTAAAGATTCATTTTTTTTTTCAAGAGGTCAATTAATATAAACAACAGACAATGTAATAAAATTGTACATTTATCAATGATTTCTTAATCACGTGTAAAATAGTAAGTGAAATATATTTTTAAAAATTATGATCAAACACATATTACAAACAATTCATCTGCACCTAAAACTTCTTCTTTTTTTAATAAAAAACATCCATTGCTAAGCAGTAGTACTAACAATTTGCGTTGGTAATAAGAAAAAGTAAGGCATTGGTTTGAACCTTATAGGAGAAGGGGAAAGATTCACTAACGTGGATAGGACTATACCCGTTAGCCTTGTTTATTTGATACATATGACATATCACATGCACTTGCATTAGTGGGATCGGAGTGCTTCACCCTTAACTAGAGGTCTTGGGTTTGAGCCCTGGGTATGAAGAAAATCTTGTTGGGAGCGTCACCCCCGAATGGGCCCTGCAGTGCGCGATCCAGATTTAGTCGAAGCTTCAATGTGGGCTCCAGACACCGAGTGAAAAACCAAAAAAAATCATGCACTTTACTATCGATCAACAATCATCATCATAGGAATATAAGCGTTAGAAATAGTCAGATAGGCTTAAAGTTATTGACAAAACTCTCAACATAGTATTATCAACATGCAACTAATAACGCAGAAAAATAATTAAGCATCTGATTTGATAACAATCAGATTGTTACAATATCATGGCCCTAGAACTCTCTCTCATAAAAATTTCGCAAAAAGAAAATAAACACTATGGCTTGTTATTACATTTCATGTTAATTATAGTAATGTAGCATAATAGAACAAATTTTTTTTGTTACCCACTGAATAGTAAAGTAAAAATTCAAAGTAGACGATCAATTTGACAAGTCACTGTGGAATCTATAATTGAACTAACCTCTTATATTACTTGTACGATTGTGTAAACTTTCTTCCTTTTTTTAAAAAAGAAAAATCAGCGTATCGTAAACATGAATCTTTCAAGCGAATTATATATCAAAATACTCAAAACATCACTATGTATTTTTGAGTATGCAATAATAGCAAATATTTTTGTGAGGAAGAAAAATAGCGAAAATTGCTCTATCAACTGTCAAATCCAGTGTGAAGACAAAATTTGAATGTAATTTACTAAAATCTCTACTAACGTTTTTCTTATTGAATGAATTTTCTTCGGATTGATTTTGCTTGGTTTAATTTGTTATGATTTTTGAATAATGTATTATCTAGTTTATTTAAAAATAAAAATTTTATGTTAAACGTATGATTATTATTTTTATAGGTTTTAAAACTCATAGATATAAATCATCATGTTTTATGTTTTTTTTTTTTTTTGAAGTGGGATATATTTTTAAAAACTATGGTCAAATACATATTGAAACATCAATCCAAACTTCACCTAATATTAGAAGGAAAAAGAAAACCGTTGCGAAGTAGTAATAGTACTAATAATTACATCTCTAGTTTTCCTATTTAGAATATGTTTTATTTACATATAAATATATAAACCGTCACAACATAAGTTGTCCAAATTTGATAGTAAAAGGGTTATTAAAAGTGCAATATACTGCCTAATCCTACACAATTTAGAATTGTAGGGTAAGTAATCCAAATTCTTTTCGAAATAGTTTTTGACATCTATATATACCCTCACAATTTATTAACTAAACATAAACATAATACATAATACATCTTTCTATTGATATAATTGATCATGGCTGGTGGGAACTTTATGGGTGCTGATGAAGGGGGTTGTGAGTACCCAGGGAAGTTGACACGTTACGTGGCCCTTACTTGTATTATGGCTGCAATGGGAGGGTTGATCTTTGGTTACGACATTGGAATTTCAGGGGGAGTTACTTCTATGGATCCTTTTCTCAAACTCTTCTTCCCTTCTGTTTATCGTAAAGAGGCTCTCGACACCTCCACCAATCAGTATTGCAAGTTTGACAGCCAGTTGCTTACCCTTTTCACTTCTTCTCTCTATGTGGCTGCTCTCATCGCCTCCTTTGTCGCTTCTTTCGTTAGTAAGAAACACGGCAGAAAAGTGACCATGTTCCTTGGAGGTCTCTTCTTCTTGTTTGGTGCCGTTCTCAATGCTGCTGCAGTCCATATTAGCATGCTCATCTTGGGTCGTATCCTTCTTGGGGTTGGAGTCGGATTTGCTAATCAGTCAGTACCTATTTATTTGTCTGAGATTGCTCCCTACAAGTACAGGGGTACCTTCAATGTTCTGTTCCAATTGGCCATCACCGTCGGGATCTTGATAGCTAATATCGTCAATTTCCTTACTAACAAGATCTCTGCTGGTTGGGGATGGAGGGTCAGCTTAGGAGGTGCAGCCGTGCCAGCACTAGTCATTTTGATTTCGTCTTTCTTTCTCGATGATACTCCCAGTTCGCTGATCCAAAGGGGAAAATCAGAGGAGGCAGAACAACTCTTGAAAAAGATCAGGGGAGTTGACAACGTCGATGCTGAATTGAAGGACCTTGTGGAGGCGAGTGAAGCATCTAACAAAGTACAACACCCATGGAAAGTCCTTCTCAGAGTCAGAAAGTACAAACCCCAGTTGATTTTATCAACTCTGATTCCGACATTCCAGCAGCTAACAGGGATTAACGTGGTCATGTTCTATGCTCCCGTGCTTTTTCAAACGCTAGGCTTTAAGGCCAACGCTTCCCTCATGTCCGCTGTCATCACCGGGGCTGTCAATGTGGGTGCAACTTTTATTTCAGTCTATTGTACAGACAGGTATGGAAGGAAGGTGCTTCTCTTAACGGGTGGCGTCCTAATGTGTGTATTCCAAGCATTAGTTGCAGGTCTTATTGGGTGGAAATTCGGAACTACAGGTGTGGTCGCCACTGTTTTGCCACAAAGCTACGCAATATTAGTGGTTCTGTGCATATGCGTATTCGTGGCTGCCTTTGCATTCTCATGGGGTCCATTGGGATGGTTAATTCCCAGTGAGATTTCTCCACTGGAAGTTCGATCTGCAGCACAAAGCGTCACTGTCTCCATGAACATGTTATTCACGTTTG